AACAAGAGAGTTCTATTTTATGTTTTCTGAAGGATCTAGCTGTCATTACGTACTCAAAAGTCATACCCACATGTTCCATGTTTGAGCAAATTGGGGTGCCCCACCTGAGGAACTTTGTGATAGCTTCCATCCCACGTTGAAGCTATGTTGCCAATTTCCGACATGTCATTGAAGACCCTCTCAGCATGAGGGAAGCGGGTACGCAAGTAATCCTGCTTCCTTTTGTCGTTCTCCACCATGAATGCAAGCTCCGCCTGGAGGGTTCTTTTTAATTTAGCAAGATTGACAATAATATCTTACTGAACTTTAGCGCAAATCATACGGTACTTGCTTTCCAGTGTTTGTGTCCTTTATGTTAAAAATTCTACAGATGACAGTCAGTATTATGTACTCTTTGTGTATGGTTGAAACAACGGGCCTTGAAATCACCTGTTCCAACTGGTTGTTTGTTCCATTCCTCCTGAAGACGTCCCAGGACCATCTCCAGAACTCCCCAACCCGAGCACATGCTGCCCACTCGCAATGTGTCCACTTTGCGGAACGTGGACACCAACCTCTGCCGAAGTCCGTCAAAGCACGGCTCCTTCAGAAAGATTTGCACGAAGTCGGAGACCTGAGATTGCCAAGCGTGCAAAACCCCTTTCAAATCCTTTTAGTGGAAGATAGATGAGATGAAACACGGCACATACAAAATGCATTGGGTCAATATGGGTCCCATACATGTTTTGGCTTGACATTTTTTGGTGTAGCTGAGGAGTCCAATTCCAGGTCCGAGGATTCATAGTAAAAAGACTTTGTTTCCGACCACTCTTAAGCAAAGTAGCGTTGGGAATGTGATTGAAAGGGAGTTTCCTCATGGTGTCAGCTGCAGGTGTGCTGCTTCCCCCCTCCTCCTCTGAAGCCTCCAGTAGTCCAAGGTCTTCGAACTCAGTCTTTTGGTCGTCTTCTTGGTCTGCAAACGGGTGCCAGCAGTGAAGTGGCGAAGTGGCCGAGGGTAACACAACTTGAATGGTGATGGGTTTCATGGCGCATAAGACTACCCCGCCCACATTCTGGGATATAGTGACAACAGTGGGTGTGACATCATGAATGGCACAGCCTTCGGGCCTCCGTCAGAACAATAAAGCAAAGCTCCATCCTCGAGTGCTTCCATGTCTTCTTTGGTCCTGGAGAGCGCGAGGCAAGAGCTGGATGGCGCGGCAGTCAAAGGGGAACAAAAGGTTGAGTTTGCCACCTTCCACCAAGACCCAAGGGCCGGGTGTGAAAACAAGTCTTTGAGAGACAAAGGAGCAGGACCATAAAAAAACACATGCTGGTCTGGTCGTGTTTGATTAGTTTTTTGATTGAATTAACACACTGCATTTTTCTCACACTCCCTTTTCAGCTGGCGTTCAGCAAAGCTTGTGGCAAGACCACTTCCCCTTCATCCGAAGATGAACCCTCATCTAGTTCCGCATCTGGCACCAGCGATAAATTGACATGTTTCTTTCGAGCTGGTGTCTTCCATGCGCCATGCCTCACAGCTTCACCCCTCAATGCGGGAATGTACCGGTATGTCAGGATGCCATACAAGGTAGGTTTGGGATGTTTGGGCAATGTACCCCCAACCCACTGTAGCAAATAGTCGGCTGACTCCTTGCTGAGTGTGCCAAGTCTTTGGCATTTTGCTGCGTACCGATTGATGTTGTTCCTCATTGAATCTGAAATGGGTCTTCTCTCTTCCACCCCTGCTGGAAGAGCGTACCCGGTCCGCACTTGCTGCGCTGCAAGAAAAGGCATAACGCAAATCGCTCTAGCTATGTTGGTATCAGCGAGCCACTGTTTTGTGACAACAAAGATGTCTTCAGGGTGTCTATCTCTCTGTCCTCTCATCTCCTCAACCTCAGCCACATTGTCAAGGATGTCGGCCCCCATATCCTTTCTCTCGCAAAAGCGTATGTAGTGCACATGGCGCATCCCCTTGAGGAAAACACCAAGCTGGGACACAAAGGGTTGCCAACACGTCACTTCGTCCAGTTTGTAGGCAGAACAAGAGGATTTTAGTATATGCCCTGCTGATGTTGTAGAAGTTCCCTGCCGTTTGGTCAAAGCATTCAGCAAATCTACCATAGCATCAGCAGTGGCGACTGCTTTCCCTTGAAGAAGACGTGCAACTTGTCCGAAGACTTGGTCGACGTCTTCATGGCTATGGGCTTTTCTTAGGTAGCCTTGGCTGGTGCTTCGAAAGATCTTTAGCACAACTGCCATCATCATGAAGGCACTGACAAATTGGTTCTTGCCTTCACGAAAACAATTGTCAGTTTGACAGTGCAAGTGCAGCGGGAGCTGGGATGTCGTTGTCAGCAAATTTGACAAACTTCGCACGAGCTGCTCTGTTTGACTGGCCGAGTTTTTCTTGACATTCTCGTCGCTGACACTCAGCCACAACCGGTCTCCGTGGATCCAAGTGGCAGCCAGATGTAGTGCTGGACGGTATAGCACTTCTAACGACTTAGGCAGTCTAACGTAGCCATTTGGAACCCTCAGTTTGGACTGGTCCATTCCATCCATGATTGTAGTCAGCACTGAAGAAGACAGTTCCAGTGAATGAATCTTAGATATTCCAAAAGCAAGCTGCTGTGAAAAGAACTGTCGGCTGAGCTCCCTCATCCGCCAGTAGAATTGTCGGTCTCTCCACTGAGCAAACAAATGGTTGCTGTAGGATCTTGTCCATGTCAGCCTCTCCGACCTGGTTGCTGATTTCTTTATTTTCTGTTTGTACCGATAGCAGATCTCGCACTGTCCAAATTCAGCTTTATCCCTGAACTTCAAATGGGTGGAGAACACCCTTCGAAATACTCTCATGAAGGTTGCCAGGGATGCCGGTTTGATTCTTTCGGCGTCTGCGTAAGCAGTGTACTGCATGTACAGGTCAATCGGCTTGGCGTGTTCAAGATACCTCCGGGGCCCTTGAAAAGTGGCCGGGCCGATTTGACCTGGGTGACTCAACTCGAAGTGTTTCTCAACATCTCGGAGGAAGCCACATGTGAAGCGCTCAGAAAAGTCTGGGTCACCCTCCACAATTTCGGTTTGCCAGTTCGGCATGACAAGCCTTGTAGGCAAAACCTCCGCGGCAGAGATGTACAAGATCCAAAAGAAGGTGACTACATGCGGCCACTGCATGTTCTCAGAGTTTCTCTTCAGAGACACCTTCAGTACACTGTGTTTGGGTTCTTGCAACCGCTTTTCATGCATAGTATACCCTGGCAGGTTTTCACGGAGGTTTTGTAGAACCCTGGAGCTGATCCCATAGAGCTGTTGGTGAGCCCTGGCACAAACAGTCCTACCGAGAAAGCTGAATGGCGTTGTTTGCCTTGCAGTATACTTCCGGCGCTTGGACGGTTCAGGTTCCTCTTGGACATTATCATCATCTGATTCAAGTAGCATAGCCCCATCCATATCACAATCGCTTTGAGAACCTTCAGAATCACTTTGAAGGAGAACCCTGTCCTCATCACAATCTCCTGTGCCCACTTCATCATCGCTTTGATACAACAGCGCATCCAGCTTTTGATCACTCCCAGTGAGGCTTTCTGGAAGTTGGATGTTATACCACATTCTCACCAGATCTTCCTGACAGAGTTTTTCATTGACCCCGAAACAGGTTCTTGTAGTTTGCCTACTACCAACAACCATTCTCATTGGACGTGTTGTTTGGAAATAATTGGTGTGGAACACTTGACTTAGGGTCAGCAAAACAAAACCCTTCCTACTGGTGTGGTTAAAAAGAAAATATGTCCATGCCATGCAAGGTTCTTTGCGAGAGTCATCAAGTGCATTGTACCGATCTCGCTCTTGTTGGACTCTTTCTAGATTGTTCTCAAATTGAGTGAGACACGATCTTGCTCCGCATTGACATGGCTTGGCGAGCAGCTGGGCCAATTTTGGCCGAGGCATTGAATGCAAGGCGCCAATTGGTGGAAACCGTGCTGCACTGCAACATGTGTTGAACGATGCTGAACGTGTCAATTATGGATGCTATCTAGGCCTTGTTCCAAGGCTGACTTGACTAAAAGTGATGCTGTGATGCTCTAAACCGGCATCTCCCCCTATTGAGCCGCATTACAAAATCAAATACTAAATAGCATTCACTCACACGATTGCCCAAATTGAAGCGACTCCCCTCTCCCGTGGTCCTCTTGGCTGGGCGCTTGCAGACATTCCCGGCCGGGCGCTTCCTCGAGGGTTTCTTCAAAGTAGCCGCCATCATCCACTTGGCGTGAACTGGCCCGCACCCTTAAGAGCCAAATGCTCTTCAGTAGGCTGGCACGCACTAGTCTCATACCTCGATCAACCCTGCAACCTTAACACCACATCCTATCCCTGTCACGAAAGCACCAGCAGTGTCGAAAGCACCATCTTTAGCGAAAGTTCCTTATATATATATATATATCCCGTCTGTCAGTCCAAAGGGCACGTTTCTGACTCAGACTCCACTGAACCCATGTGAGACCAAGCCATGTAGTACGCCAGGCATCTTTGGGCATGCAAAAACCGTCTCGGGCCAGCCAAATCCGTCTCCCCATTCCACTTAGCAACATTGATCAGTGTGCTAGGAATACCAATAAGAGAGGGGGACCCGAACTATATAGCGGTATAACTAGACTAGCGGTATACCTTAGACCTTGTGGAATTGGCAAAACGAGGCGGTGAAAGACCTCTCTAGGTATATGCTATCTACTTGAGCAACTGCCGAGGAAATCCGGATCTCTACCGAGCGAGCGAAAACGCACGAGCTGTGTGGACTCGCAGAGCCACGTGGGCGTCGAAGATGTGCTTGGAGTTCATCCGATCGGGGGTCTACAAACCACCCAGTTCCTCCATCAACTGCGTACCCCGTGTTCCACTAGGTGGTGGAAAGAATGATTTATAATCTGATCCATGTGAGTTTGACCTGAGTCAAGTTCCGGAAGTTCCGCCGTGCTGCTTATGGTTTCCACCACTCTTTTGAACCAGGTGGCTCCCAGCTGCGCCAACATCCTCACAGTTTCCGTCAGCACCTCCGACAGCATCGTCCGGTTCGACACAAAGGGCGCCACATCCAGGGCGATCAGGTCGGCAGCAAAGTCCACAAAAGGTAAATCCCAGAAGTGGTCCACAGGAAACCAAATGCCCGAAGCCTAAGCATTCGACCAAGACTCCTCAGGTCAACCAAAACTTCTCCATTGGTTCAAAATCGTTGCCCCATGAATTCGAGTGTCATCTAGAGTCATCTAGTCACTACAAACACTGCAGTTACGTTTTGTCTATTCAGTCAAGTGCATGGCAGCCCAATTCTGCTGAATCCTGCTTGGGCAGAAAATGAGGGGCTATATATTTCCATACAAACCACACCTTTGGCTACTTCTACTGACCACTCCTACTGAGCACTTGCTTGTGCTGTTTTCAGACTTCTACCTTCACTATCACTGCGACTATACAGGGCCGGTAACAAGTCCCACCAATCACGACCACAACCCCAACAATCAAATCAAATCACTACCTGGACTCGGACCTCCAAAGTGCCCTATAGGCCCTAGAAAATGGGATACGGCCGCAGCCCATTTAAACAGAGAAACACACAGGTATTTTGAGGACCTTTCGAGGGTCCAGGTACTTGTGAAACGACCTCCATGCAGTACACAAATCACGCCAGGATGCTGATTGATTGAACAAAGCTGCTGCATCCTCATCAGTGGTGCTCACCTGAAAGCCCCAGACTGAACAGACTCGCTTCAGCGAATCCAGCCTTTTGGAACGGCGAAAACCAACCCGTCCAGGTGGACAGGTTGGACATCCGCCGGTCGCAGACACTGAACATGAAGCATCAAAGCAAATCCCCCGTCTACCGATTGGGCGGGACCGCAATGGCATCGGACGGTGGATCGAAACAAATGGCTCCTTCCTCTAAGACCAGATTAGACTATTTTCTAACTATTAGTCTATTTCAATAATTCTAACTAATAGTTAGAATTCAAATAAACTAATAGTATAAACTAGGGGATAATTTAAAGTCTATTTTGTTGAATAGACTCAAGTCTATTTTGCTAAACAACCTTGGAATGTCAAGATTATGTTGGAAAAACCTGAGATCTTGTAAAGACATTTTGTTAGTTCATTTTAGGTGTTTGTGGTCACACTTTTGAAAAACACAAACTTGAGCAATGTGTGTGGCCCAAGTAACATTGAGCAGAGAGCCTAAGTAACATGGCCTAGGTAACCGTACATGGCCTAAGTAACATGCAAATTTTCTTTCAAACTCACATCACAAAGTATTTTTGGTGTCAAGTGTTGTGGAAGGCTCACAAGCTTCCAGAGGATCAGCAAGACTGACAAAAGGGTAGATGTTGTAGTTTCATGAAGAAACAAGTTTTGTCTATGTTTGTCCTAACTAGCATCGCACACATCTCCTTTCTTTGCTTTGAGCACCTGTAGCACACATGGCCGTCTCTAAGGGAATGAAGGTGGACCCTTCCAGTGGTGTGATGGACCTGCAAAGAGTGCTGCCAAAGGAAATGAACAGAGGAGCTGGCAAAGATCTGTTTTCTTGTTTGAAGCATCCTACCAATGCTCAGTGGAGTTGGAAGACAAGTTCTTGTCCTCAATGGATGGCTCAATGTCATGAAATGTTGGTGTATTTCTTGAAGATTGCACCAAATGGGCTACTATAGGTCAGCCAAAGTTAAGCTAGCACTACAGAGGATGATCCAAGACTGTTCACAAATGGTCAACAAAACACACTTCCATACAGCTGACTTTGTGGACCAGGTAGATCAAAGGATTCGTGTTTTGCTTGCACAAGCCAGAGGCATCAAGAAGAACCATGAAGCTTACGCAACAGCAATGAGGAAGGCCACCTTCGATTCCAAAGAGAAGGTTGACACCATTTTGGAACACCTGCAGTTGGACGGAGCTGATGACAGTACTCCTTCGACAGTACTCGCTCCACAGCTGATGACAGTACTCCTTGCATTTTACTTCACCAAATAGGTCAATATTACGTATACAAGCCCAAACAATATCTCAATAAATATATGGAAATATTGCATTTTAAAAAGTCAAATTCAACTATGACACCAAAGTGACACAAAAGTGACACTAATAGTGCCACTTTGATTTTGAAACTGCAACTTTTTCAGTGTAGTTTTAAATAAAAGTGACACTTTAAGTGTCAGTTGCAATGTAAAAGTTGTCACTTTTGTGTTCGTTTTGTGTCGGTTTTGTGTCGGTTTTGTGTCGCTTTTGTGTCGCTTTTGTGTCGGTTTTGTGTCGGTTTTGTGTCGCTTTTGTGTCGGTTTTGTGTCACTTTTGTGTGTGTGTCACTTTTGTGTCGCTTTTGTGTCGCTTTTGTGTCACTTTTGTGTCGCTTTTGTGTCGGTTTTGTGTCACTTTTGCGTCGCTTTTGTGTCGCTTTTGTGTCACATTTTGTGTGTGTGCGTCACTTTTGTCGCTTTTGCGCCGCTTTTGTGTCACTTTTGTGTCTCTTTTGTCACTTTTGTGTCACTTTTGTCTTACTTTTGTGGCACTTTTGTGTCGCTTTTGTGTCGCTTTTGTGTCAGTTTTGTGTCAGTTTTGTGTCACTTTTGCGTCGCTTTTGTGTCACTTTTGTGTGTCTTTTGTGACACTTTTGTGTCAGTGTTCAGTACTTTTATGTCAGTGTTATAATATGTTTCATGTTTTGCTTACGTCTTTTGTGATTTTGTTTGTTAAGTTCGTGTAGGTTAGTTGAAATGGCTAAATGAAAAACTAGGCAACTACATGCACAGTAGTATGAGTCCACTGTGGTTATCTATCTTGAAGCATTTGGCAACTTGTATTATGTTTGTTGCGTTGTCTTTTGTGGCTCCAGAGTTGCTTTGTTGCAACAAAGTGTTCTTGTGCATATGACAGTAAAAATATGTAAAAATAAGCAGCACAAAGTAAAGGACACAAAACAAACCGACGCAACGAAAGACAAAACGTGACATAGAACAACTCAAACATAAAAGTGAATCTAGGTAGCATTCAGTGGGGGTCTAAGTAGCACTTGGTGACCAGCCACGGCTTCACCAAACAAGAGGGAAGCAGCTACAGAAGAAGCAGCTACCCCTGCCAAAAGTGCACGGCAGGCTTTGGCACCTGCGACACCCATGAAAAGGCCAGCAGTATCAGTCAAGCCTCATGCAAAAAGCAAGGCAAAAGCACCACAGCCAAAGGCGAAGCCAACCACAGAGAAGAAGAAGGAGAAGGAACAGAAGGCAAAAGCCAAGAGTAAGCCCAAAGCAGTTCCAAAAAAGCATGAAAAGGACAGCTTTTCAGACAAAGTGCAGAAGTGGAAGCTGAAGGAAGACCACAAAGGTGATGAGCCAGAATCAGATGATGCTGGTGAAAGTGGTAAAGGCGATGCAACAGTAGCAGCAAAGAGGGGCTTGTCTAAGACAAGAAAATACAAGAGGTTGTCCGAAGCAAATGCAATTCACCAACACAACTCAGAACATGCGCATGGCCTCAGTAACAGTACATGGCCTATGATAAGTAACATGCACGTTTGTTTTTCACAATATAACACCACAAGTTTAGGTATATAGTTTGTATTTCCTGATGTTATTCTATAGAATAACCTCAAGGTTATGTTTCAAAATAGACTATTTCTCAATCTAAAATCAAGTCTATTTAAAATAGACTAATAGTTAGAAAATAATCTAGAAAAGCTGTTCTAACTATTAGTTAGGAAATAGTCTAATCTGGTCTTAGAGGTTTGATAGGAGGGCCATTGGGAAGTCCTGTTCTCCCTCCCAATCTCATGGATGTGGATGGCATTGGCCCCCTGGAAAATGTCATGAAATCCGAATAGCCGCGAACACCAAACAGGAGTGTGTGTTTCACTCACTCCACTTCGGAGTTGGAGGGCACATTCTGCACTGCACTGGTTGCTGCCTGGGTTAAAACGCCTCATTCGGAGCCTCCGAAAGGCCATGACTTTCCACGGTCCACGTCGAGACCGTTGCACCCTCCGGAGCGAACGAGGCCGAAACCGGGTGGATCGACCTGACGAGTCGGATCAGAACCCCACTTTACATGTTCCACGCACCACGCGACGATCACGCCGCCCGCTCCACGCCCGTTCTGGGGTGCCAGAGGGTGTTATGTACCAAAGATCGAGTTCTTGCACCAGAACTTGCACTAGAATGGTGTCCGGTCACAAAGATCACCAGGACAGGAAGCACTGGATCCCTAAGACCCCAGAGAACTTCAGCAGGACAAACTCGAACGAATTTCCCACGTACGACCCAGGGATGAGGTCGGGGTGAACATGAAGGCCACTAGTTGGTGGTTGTCTCTCATGTCGGGCGGGACGTGCTGTGCTCATGCTGTAACAAAAACAAAGAACTGAACATTTGCATGCACATATGTGGACTATAATGTCCACTGTTTTCCATCATGTTGTATGGGCCACTGTCCACCGCGAACAAGAACAAAAACCAAAAACACAAATGAATACAAACACCGACAAACACTATGAACAAACCAACCCACCAACACACACTTAGATTGATGCTCGCAAGAGCTAAATCAGTTGCGATCCTCCACTCTAGTGAACACAATACCGGTCTAGAGCGCTGAAGCCTGAACCTGTCAATGGCCCAATGGCCCTGTGCAAACAGCAAGGTGAAGAGGTCGGCAACAATATTGTTTACATCATCTGATCGTGAGTCTGCAGGTGCACAATGTGGCGTCCCACATTGCTTCACCACGAGCTGACAGTGCCTTCGTTGGGCAATGTCTGTCCGTCGTGCATCGCCCCCCTGCCTAGTGAGTTGAAAAGTACTAGGAACAACGAATTAGCGTGCACTGGTTGGTGTCCTTCGGTACAGGTGTGGACACACACACACAGGGCCGTAAGTCGGCGCTCGCTCTTTTTGTCCGCGGAAAGGGGGGAAGGGGAAAGAGGGTGTGGGAGTGCATTGACTAAACAAGCCTGGAAGCCAACCTAACAAGCTGAAAGAAAGAACAAGGCAAACGAAAAGGCGAGGAAAGAAAGGTGCAAGGGGTGCGGGGGTGTGGGCTGGGCGTGCGTTGACTAAACGAGCCTGAACGCCGACCCAACAAGCCAGAAGGAAAGCCCCAAGCAAACGAAAAGGCAAGGAACGAAAGGTGCGAGGGGTGTAGTGGGGGGTGTAGGGGCCCAGGCCCGAAGGCATAGGACAAAAAGCCGTAACCGGCGCTCCCTTGACTTACACCTAAAAAGCCTCTAGAAAACGAAAACAGACCTAGAAAACGAAGAGCAACAGCAGGAGAGAAAGAACCGAACAATCCTATGGCCTATGAATACTTAGCAGCATGACATGTGAATACTTAGCGGCATGACATGACATTCTCCGAAGTTTGATCTCAGTAAGCCCTGCGGCGTACGATCGGCACTTTCAAGCAAAACAGTGAGTCCAGTGAAGTTCACAACGAAGATCACGTGCAGTCAGAAGGATCAGGGGGGTCACCCTTAGCGGTATGTGCACATGCTGCGCCCCTCGTTGGGGATCACACCACAGACCGCAGTGGGACTCTGTGGCGGGACACACTTAGATTGATGCTCGCAAGAGCAAAACCAGTTGCGATCCTCTATCTAGTGAACACAATACCGATCTAGAGCGCTGAAACCTGAACCTGTCAATGGCCCTGTGCAAACAGCAAGGTGAAAAGGTCGGCAACAATATTGTTGATCATCTGATCGTGAGTCTGCAGGGCGTCCCACATTGCTTCACCACGAGCTGACAGTGCCTTCGTTGGGCAATGTCTGTCCGTCGTGCATCGCCCCCCTGCCTAGTGAGTTGAAAAGTACTAGGAACAACGAATTAGCGTGCACTGATTGGTGTCCTTCGGTACAGGTGTGGACACACACAAAAAACAACAACAAACACAACACAACACAAAATATACAAAAAAAGGCAACCACCACAACCAACAACCAACAACAGAAAACACAAGAACAACAACAACAACCACAACCACAACCAACAACCAACAACAAACAACCACAACAACAGCAACAAGCAATAGCAACCAACAACCAACAACAAACAACAAACAAACAACAAGCAACAACCAACAACAACAAAAACAACAACAACAACAACAACAACAACAACAACAACAACAACCAACAACAACAACAACAACAGCAACAACAACAACAACGTAACAACAACAACAACAACTACTACAACAACAACTACAACAACTACTACTACTACTACTTACTACTTACTACTTACTACTTACTCCTTACTCCTTACTACTTACTACTTACTACTACTTACGACTACTTACGACTACTTACTACCACTACTACTACTACGACGACGACTACTACTACTACAACCAACAACCAACAACCAACAACAACAACAACAACAACAACAATCATCTTGGTCTAAGACTCTTTAGACCTCTCGGCATTTCTAAATTCAGATCATTTCTAGCCTCTCTGCCCAACTCCGACGCGTTGAATTCGTTCTGCACCAGGCGGCATAGAGCGGGAAGAAACCGGCGGTGTGGAAGACACTGAAGCGACTTGGCCCCGTCGCCAGCAGCAGCACCGAGCGATGGATCGACGTGACGTTGGGGCCCAGGCAGCTGCGCGCTGTGCAACGGCGCAGGTCGCCTGAGGACCACGCAGGTTGTGGAGGCTCCCTGGTCGTTGACATTGAGACGTCCCCAGGATTTTGTTGAGCGCCCGCTATGGCAGTTGAGACGTCCGTGTGCTTCGCACGCAAGCCTCAAGTGGTTGAGTGACGTGGCGGAAAGAGCTTCGACATCGGAAGAGCTTCCATTTTGCAAGATGCCCCTTTTCTCATAAATAACTCAATTCGGGATGCGTTCTGCATGTCGGGGATACACTTCACGCTTTGATTTGGACGTGTTGTTCATGCAGGGGAGCCCCAAACATGTATGGAATATAGTCGCCGTATATCGCAATATGTTGGATCCTGATTAGTAAATTAAAGGATCCTCTGTACTGCTAATGTTCAACAAAATCTGAACCCATGTTTGTGTTAAGGGTCCTCTATTATGCTAAACTTGTTGGTGATCCTAGTTTTCGAGTTTTTGATAATTTCAAAAAATAATTAGGGTTTAAACACCTTCAGAGACCTGTGAATACTACTAAGCCAATGACTGGCATGCTAAGAGTACTGATAAGATAAGCATAGATAGGCTGGTTTCTAGTTCTTCTTCAAAATTGACAGCTTTCCAATGCCATCAATTCCTTGATCAATCCTTTATGTAAAGGTTGCTCCTAAACAAATTTTCAAGGTAGTAGACCAAGAAGGCCCCTGATCCTGATCCTCAGCAAAAAAAATGTTTTAAGGGTCTTCAATTTAGTGGTAAGGTCAGGAGCCCCTAGTAGCGTCCTTGCTCCATAAGGCCAGGCGCCCCTAGTAGCGTCCTTGCTCCTAGTACTAAGGTTGCTCCTTGCTCCTAGTAGTAAGGCCAGGCGCCCCTAGTAGCGTCCTTGCTCCTAGTAGTAAGGCCACAACCCCTAGTAGCGTCCTTGCTCCCAGTAGTGTGGCCAGGGGCCCCTAGTCCTTGCTCCTAGTAGTAAGGCCAGGAGCCGTCCTTGCTCCTAGTAGTAAGGCCAGGAGCCCTAGTAGTGGCCTTGCTCCTGGTAGTAAGGCCAGGAGCCCCTAGTAATTAGCGTCCTTGCTCCTAGTAGCGTCCTTGCTCCTAGTAGTAAGGCCAGGAGCCCCTAGTAGCGTCGTTGCTCCTAGTAGTAAGGCCAGGAGCCCCTAGTAATTAGCGTCCTTGCTCCTAGTAGCGTCCTTGCTCCTAGTAGTAAGGCCAGGAGCCCCTAGTAGCGTCCTTGCTCCTAGTAGTAAGGCAGTTGTGCTTTCTCTTTCATCGAGTCTTCGATCCTACTTAGCGACTCTCTTCGACACGTCGACTCTCTTTTGTCGACCAGTGTGGCACTCCGCTCCGCTCCAGTCTAACATTAAAAACCTTTACTAATCAGGATCCCACAGAGCATATAGCATAGCATATAGGGCTATTTTCATGGGGTACATGCATATGATGTAACACCCACTTGCTATTTGGTAGACACCCGGCTCAAGCTAGATGAGCCTTATTCCAGTCCCATAGATGGTCCGTGGTAGGATCAGTCAATCCATTCCGGGGTCCCAGGCCATCCCTTTTTGGCTCCACGTGGCCGCTCCAGTGCTCCACGTCTCCGCTCCGGGGCGTCTGTCGAACGAAGAAGCGCTGCAGAAGCACATGGCCTCCACATGCCCAAGACGGAGGTACTCTAAAACCCCTCCAGTTGGCCTGAAAAAGAACCGTTTCCGGTAGGGCTTCAACGACCTTCGAATGCGCTCCGTAGCGCGGAACAACTGCTGGGTTGCGTGGAGAACGGCGGCGCCGCAGTTCCGAAGGCACCGTGAAATCCAAATGCAGGACCAAACAGGGGGCTTTTCACTCCACTTCCATAGTTAGTTCCTGGGAGATTAACCCTTTTCCACCGTGTGTTTGAGTGGGGAATCCTCATGAAACGGGCAGCATATCCACTGACTGGTCAGTACCAGGCAGCCCTGACCCAGGAACCCTAGGGATCCAAGTACCTTCTCAGCAGGTGATTGGAGACACCACTATGTAGGTTTGGAGGGTCCAATCACCTGCTGAGAAGGTACGACTGGATCCCTAGGGGAAGGAAGCCCTTGACCACTTGGAATCCCCAGGAAGGTCTCTGGTCTCGTAGCACTTGGAAAAGTGTAGATCGATCCGTGCGTCTCGGGTCGCTCGTCGCTGAAAACAGAGTGAGATCTTTGCTGTCTTTGATGGCATGTGGGAAAAGAAACGAGCCGGAGTCATGGTCCAAACCTCTGTCTCTTCTTATATATGAAACCCAGTGATGTGTGGATGTAAGATGAAACCGGATGTGTGCCAGTTGTGCGAGCCAAGACAAGCTCATGGTTTTACACGAGTTCTTCGCTTCTTTCGCACCTCATGAGCACCTAGCTGAACGGCCCACTGAACACTAAAAACACACGGAACGGTGATCTTCCACTGAGCACCTCGGAGAACGCACCCATGGAACGTTCTCTTTCTCAGAGGGAAGGTGGGGAAGGGTGGGAAAGACTCGTTCTTGTTTGACCCAGCCAAGGAAGTCTTGAAGCATGTTGAAGCATGTTGAAGCAATCAATATTAATCACATCTGCACTTGCTGGAAAAGCACAGAACATCAAGAACATAATTAGAGAAATTCATGCCGTCCAAAGGGGAACAAACGAGGGAGAGAGCGTTTTCAGATGCTTCAGGAACAGACTCTGATCGCCCAAGGAGCGCAAGGCGTAGATGGTTGTGATGGTGCCCGTCAGCACGCCCGCAAGGAAAAGCCCCAGTCGTCCGAAGAACGACATGGGTCGGCGAGTGGCACGTGGCAAAGAATGTCTATGTTTGGTTTAGATCTTGATGGGGTGTTGGGTTAGCATGGGCCTGTTGGGTGGTGTGTGGTGATCAGGAAGCTACATGAAGCTCGCTGAAGGAACTGTTCGTTAGAACCGAGTGTTGAGGTCCGACCCCCCGGTTGGTTTGGCAAGTACCATCTTCAGCTTGGCAAGAAATGCCATGCAGCTGGCCCTGCAACAAAGATCCTCTGCTGAGTTATACATCAGGACTTAATTGGCAGGATGGTGTAGGGACTTTGCCACCCACCCCGGTCGCTATGGTGCTTGAGCTTGAGCTGTCTGCTATTTAGTTGATATTGACTCTCATGACTTGATATGTTTTGACACTTGTTGACACTTGTCCTTACTTATGGTTGCTTTTGTTCTTCTTGTCATTGCTGTTGCAGTATGGCCACCACTAAGCGTAGCAATGCATATTCATGTGGACGCGGCTCGATGACGCGGATGGGGTGTTCCATGAGACAACGGTTTGACAAGCCAAAGAAGAAAACCATGTTGACTCGGCTGTGGGTCTTGGAGTGGATTCCTGTATGCTATGTTTCTTGTTTGAGTCTCCTACAAATAAGCTGAATTGATGTAACATGATGTGCCCTCCCTAGAATTATCATGGAAGTGGACGGCATGGCCCCTTGGATGATGGTCCATCCATGTAGGTAAATATTCCATAATTACCTGGAGTCTCAAAGAATCTGAGCTACAAGTACCTGCTATGTACCTGCTTGTTTGTTACTTATTTAATTTTAAACAATTATAGTAGTTATATTATTATAGTCATAGCTCATGTCATGTCATGTCCAATTTGCCAACGAACTGGAGGTCCAGGTGAACTCCGAATTCTTCCCCCCATGTCGATTCCTATCGACCGCTTTACAAACCCTCCATGTCTGGCCAAAGACCGGAAGATCCTCTGGAGTTTTCAAGCCTGGGGGATCTTCCAACATCGGTTTTGGGCCCAGCCGGTTTTGGTGGAAAAACAACACTAGAAACCGGTAATACCTTTTCAGCATCCCAAAACTAGATGTTCTACCCAAAACGCGAAGAAAAAGCAACAACACCCCTGGACTCCTGGTCCCGTACTCACTCCAGGATCCGACCCCAGAAGGGTCCTGTCGCGAGAACGGGCCAAACACATCCACCCTGACACGACCTGTCTGGGACTGCCAGGACGGACTGCCGCCCCAGACAGACCCCCCTTTCACTCACCACCCCAAACGGCCGTGCCACTGCAGGCAGTCCGGACTGCCAGTCCCATGGGGGTCGTGTCTGGCCATATGGGGCCTCGATCGGAGCCTCGTTGAGTCAGATGAACGGATGTCCCGCCTTCCTTTTTCGCTCGTAGCGAGTGCAAGAGCCTGGCACATCGCGTGGCCACCACCGATCCGCGGGGAGCTGGTCGATCGGTGGAGCGGTGGTGGGGGTCCAAGATCGGTGGCAACAGATCCGCGTGAATTCCACGCGGAAGAAAAGGAACGAACAAAACCACCCCAGACACTCCATGTATGGCATATATGCCGATCAGTCCAGGGGTGGTTTTGGGGGTCAATGTAGGCATATATGGCATACATGGAGTATCTGGGCACGATCCCTCCGATTTTCTGCCGCTTCAGTTCTGCCCAGTTCCGTGGAATTGCATGGAGGCTCACCAGTTCACCCGGCAGCCCAATGGGTCTTCGGATGTCCATCGTCCGTCCGGGGCGTCTAAGCATCCTAACATGACTGTGGAACATCTGGGGCGAGTCTCCAACGGGTTAGACGTGATCCTTTTCCCAGACACGACTAATGGGACTGCCATATAAAGAAAGGACTCCAATCGAGGTTCTGACTGATATATCCCAGACGCTCCATGTATGCCATATATGCCTACATTGACCCCCAAAACCACCCCAACTGATCGGCATGTATGCCATACATGGAGTGTCTGGGTTTGCACGGGACGTTTATTTTCCCACAAACACCACGGTCCCCATGCTCCGATGTATCGGTTCTTGAACGGAGTTGCTGTCAGGAACCGGGAAGAAGACAGATATTCCTTGGGTCAACCTCCGATCTATCCAGGGGACTTGGATGATGGGGCCGGATGTTGCAGGCCTTCATCTCTTTTCAAATAATGATTTGCTGGTGAAAACTGACTGTTACAGGTAGTAGGACAGACCCAACATATTTCCCAGGCCAAGGGATTGACCCAGTTCGGGAAAAGAAAGAATCCTTGAATCCTTTCGCAAAGACTGAGCCATTTGGCAAGATTTCAACATCCAGGTTTTCACGAAGCAACTTGTGGAGTATCTTTCAACAAAACCCGATGAGCGAAGAATCCTCGGATCACCATTGCGGCATGGCCCGATCGATGTTCAAAGTTTACCGTGCAGCATGGCCCAACATGTGAGTATTCAGCGATCTGTTCCCACGTCCCTCTTGCGTTATAATCCCCGAACCACCATCGATGTATACACGTATAATATAGGTTTTACCAAGCAACCATGATCAACTATATACATATATACCTATAGGCTTCCAAGACCATTCAAAGAAAGGTTGACCTGGTTGCGTAGTGTAAAATCCTTAGTAAAACAATGGTGGTTCGGTAAAGGCCATGAAAACAATGGTTGTTGGAAGCCTAGGGTATATATTATATGTATAAGGATTTTACACTACAAATCCACGTCAACCATCTTTAAATGGCTGAATTGGTCTTTGAAAGCTTGGGGGTGCTCTTTGTCTCGTGGTGAAGTGGGGCCACATGATCTGCTGTGAACTTCAAACCCAAACCCTGGGCCCATAAGGCTCTGTTGGGTTCTGGGTGCTGAGAAAAAACACAAAAACGTTTTGCACGACATCTCACCGTCACCTACGACACATGTTCCAACTCAGCCCAGATGCTCCAACATCTCAGATGCTGGCAATTGTTTGAAGGCCCTTTCCTCTCCAAACGGGTCAGAGGCACCACGAACGACCCCAAAACATCCTATTTCTGTGCGGAAAGATGAGGGTGTGCAGCATCAATAGACACTGTTGTTCAAACTGATCAAACTGAAATGAACAATTCTGCTATTCTAACGGTTCAATACGTTTCAAAGTTTTGGCTAAAAAGGTCAGGGACAGGTATCCAAAAAGAACATGCCATTACTCATGCCGTTTCATGCCGTTCAATTCAATCAAACATCGATTATGTTTTTAAACCATAGGTTATTGAATGAAGCATCAACGGGATTTTCAATGACAAACCAACAGGTTTTGGTGGGCTTCAAATTGAAAATCGGTAGGTCTCAAGTGGAAAAACAATATGTTTATTACACCGAAAAAAACAGGTGTGACGTCAAACATTTCGATTGGTTCTTACAAGAGGCCGGGCTGTGAGAAAAACCTATTGAAAAGATCAATCCCCCTGGTCGACAGGCGTTATTCTGTCTCATGACGCTGAGGGACAGTTGCATTTTCACTTTTTCCCAATTGGTTGAAAGGGATTAAGTTGCACATTGACATGGAAGCGGTGACGACTTCCGTAGTGAAGGTCTTTCCGGAAATGTTCTAACGACATGGAACTAAGCAAAGCTTGCAACCTATCGTCAAAGTCGGGACAAATTGGCACACAGTATCATTCTCAGCACAAGTCAAGCTGCTATACAAATGAAGCAAGCAAGTGAAAAATAGTGAAAGGCCATGAAAGGCCAAGGGGAGCCAGAACAAAGCGTGATGTGAGGGCAATTGCGTGTGTGATTCAAGGGCTCCATATTTTCGGCTCATTTGCTGCTGATTTGGCAGTGCCGGCTCATCACACGTGTGCTTGCGTTGACACATAGGCTGTTTATGTATCATGTCTGTGGTATCTGAAATCCATCCAACCAAAAGGAGCGAGCTGTTCAAAGTCTTCGACATGTCCTGAAAGTCCGGTCGACATGATTCATGACCGGAGGATGCGTCAAGTCATCTGGAGCCGTAATTAGAATCGATCGATGGACATGAAGCACCGAGGTGTATGGAAGTCATTACCTTTTATGAGCCACCCGAGGCGGCAGGAGCTGTTCCAACGTCGCAGGAGGCGTAGCCGTGAGCTGCCGGCGGGTAGAATTGTTCACCATTCCAACGTTAGAGTAGCCGTGAGCCACCCGACCAAAAATTTTGTGCAGGAAGGACCCATTGCCATGTAGCATAGCTTTTGTGAG